GACTCATGGTCCTGACAAAGTGTTGTTATTTTTCAGGTCAATCAGAAATCCAATATGGCCACCACAGCCGCTATTTTGTAAATACCTATTCTAAACTTAAAAACAATTTCTAATAGGCCGATCTTATTTAAAATCGGTCTAGGAATGATCAGCTCATGGTCCTGACAAAGTTAAGTTAACATTATACTTAACTATTTTTTACTCAAATTGGTACATATTTCAACAACAAAAATAAATACTGTAGGACTCAGGTGACCGTTAAGGCCCATGGGCCTCTTGTTCTATGTAAGCCTAGGTTCCCATTAGTGTTTTCCTAGATATACACATAGAAATTATACATTTTTCTATGTAAGCCTAGGTTCCCGTTAGTGTTTTCCAGATATACACATAGAAATTATACATTTTTCCAGGCAACGTTTGAGGGATGGATGGAAGTCATGGGTGATGCTATAGATGCAACTGAGGTAAGCTTAATAAACTGGCAGACTCTGATTCAAGAAGAATAGCACTGGTGATAATTGAAGTTATATTTTTGAAAAAAATAGTGAGTTTATAAGATAAATTGGTCCAAAAAAAGAGGAGAAAAAATCATCCAAAGCCATTGATTTTTAGACATAAGTGCAAAAAAAAGGGACACTTAGCATAAAAATTGAAGAGAAAAATAGGAATTATATGAACATTTCTGTCATAACATCTATATTTTGACGTCTTTTGATATGTTTTTACCTCTCAAGTAGTGGAGGTGTATACAGAATAAACATTTTGTCAGTGTATATAACTATCTGTCCGCAGTCATCAAAAAATATTGTGAGAATCAAAACTGCTTGTAAAATAAATCATCTGAAATCAAAGTTTGTTGTGCATTAAATCGTAAATTTAGGATATTTTATGAGCGATTAGATAAAATAACGGAACACTGGATTTTCTTCCAAAACATTGTAAAAAAAATCATCTGACAGGATAATATTTCATGAGGGAAAACGTCATGCAATTCTTATTGAAATGTATGTTTCCTTTGTAGGTGGATGAGCAACCGATATTTGAGGCTGGATTGTACTACTACTTATACTTTGTGGCATTCATCATATTTGGCGCATTCTTCACTTTGAATCTGTTTATTGGTGTCATCATTGAAAACTTTAATGCTCTAAAGAAAAAGGTAATCAACACAGGTTAGACATATCGCAGGATTACACAGATTTCATAGTACTCGTGTTCTTCTTTTCTGAAAAAAACTAATGAAGTTTGAAACATATTTTCGTTTTAGGAAAACAGTTGCTATTTTAAATGACTATAAGAAATTTCCTTACAGACATATCCAAGCATGGTATTTAGAAAGTGGATCTATTTCTAGGATTCATTTCAAAAATCATTACAATACGATGTCATTATTTTCTGTAAATGTCTGTTCTCGAAATATATTTATATGAAACATTTATAAACGTTTTATATCTGTTCCTATTTCAGTATGAAGGCAGTTATCTGGATATGTTCCTCACTCAAGGACAACGAAATTACATGAACACACTAAAGAAACTAGCCAACAAAAAGCCACAAAAAACAGTCAAGAGGCCAAAGGTAGCCAGATATGTAGCATTCTTGATATTTGTTGAGCAGGAAATGTTAAAAAGAACACATCACTAAATTTACATGTTTGAAAGTATCTGAGAGGTAAACATATTTGGAGCCATATGAAAATAAAGATACTCTTTCTAAAATGTTAAGTCATCAATTCTTTCAGGGTCCAAGTTTTTGGGTAAGTTTGGTTAGCTTTGTAGTGCATGAATGTTTAAGGAAACAAAAATTGGACAGTTATAAGATTATAGTCAAGATTGTTGCCTACTTTTTCATGTCAGTAAAGGACTGTTTGCTTCTACAGTAGTGATTAAATTGTTTATAAATCATGATTGTAGAATAGAGCATCCGTTTTACACAAGGCAGAATTTATATATCAACTAGGTCCTTAAACTTGTCACAAACATGTTATGCTCCACATTCTAGTTAATAACATTAATGATGGTCAGGCCATTTGAAAAATAAAACTCAAATGTCAAGATACAGTATACTTTATATCACATCTTGCAATTCATTTTGAGCTCGGTGATGTTTAGGTTGTTGGTATAAGTGAAGTTCTTAAAAAAATGCTAGTCACTAAGTGTTCTCATAATATTGTGTCAGCTTAAAACAAACAGCATCTATATTGCTTCCAAAGCTCTGAATTTATATTGATACATTACAAAATTTCACTTTAAAGTCGATGGTGGTGAGGAAATCACATCTCTTTTTTTCATCATTTAATGTATTTTTTTCTACTTTTTCTTTAAAGAATGCTCTGTTTCTCTTTAATACTTTACTAGTGTAAAATGAAATAAGATGTTACGTCAAAGGTATTGCATGATCATTAATATATACTACTGAAGGGCTCTATGCCTAAAAAGGTTCTTTTAACTTAAATTAAAGAAAGCAACACAATATTAATGGTATTTTGTGTTGGGCAGAGCCTTGCTTTCAAATGTTACTTCTAGCATTTAGATTCATTGCTTCCGTCATATAGGCCAATGTATTATTAATATTGTATAAAGAACATTTTCATTTTTACATTGCTTCAAATTTACCGTCCAATGTTTAATCACTGATTTGGTATACTGTCTTAATTACAATCTCCTGAACCATAATAGGACAAGGTAATTTTTTCAAGAAAATGTATATAGAATTAATAGCATCTGATCTATTTTCTTGTACCCTTCTCTATTGAAAAAGGGAAACTATCGATATAAAAATAGTTATCAATGCAGTCCAACCTTGTTATGTTAAAAGTGTTTTGACAGTTTGCGATAAATAAGTTTGGTATATCTGAGTTACGATATGTAGAAATAAACTGCCAACAATCAGTTTTGATATAAAATTACAGGTGTTTGACTGTACTGTTAATTTGTTATTACAATCATTGACGTTTCTGTTTAATGAAAGGTGTTGTTTTGTATGTCTGTTATTTTTGTTGTAAATTATTACTGATGGTCGCAAATCAAAATATTTTGCAGTATCTTATTATTTCTGCAAAAAGGCTTCCAGTGTTTGTAAAACGTGTAGATTATAAAAATGCATGGTTATAACCCTAGAAAGCTACAGCTGGATCAGCTATATTGAGTTATATATGAAGGTGGCTATATCTGTGCTATGTCTTTCGCTCATGTTGCGTTATTGCATGCATATTTTATAATAATTTTATCGATCTTTTCTTTTTCTGAAATTAAATGTTGTACAAACATTGTTTTTACAAGAAAATATGTTTTGATATTTTTATCATTTTTTCCTTTTCTTTTACATATTTTGGATATATGTTTATCGATTGATACTTCAAAACAACCTATTAAAAATGAAATGTATTGGAACAATTTTGAAATGCATAAACACTAATTCGAAAATTCACTTGACAAGGACATTTAACTTGTTCAACCTTTTCCAGATATTATAAAACATTTATTTCCCCCAAATTACTGTAATTTGTTTTTAATGAATTATGTTTTGGGTTCGAAATTTACGAATTTATCATTAACTCTCAATGATGGATTTGGTATATTGTTATTACCTATCCATTTCCAACAATGCCTTATTTAGCAGTGATTAATATAAGCTACTCAGCAATTTAAAGGATAGATACATACAAGTACATATGTATTTTAGATGTAAGAATGTAAGCACACCCTTTCAATTACATCATTTAGACATGAAAAATGTTTTAGAATGTAACACTAGTTATTCAAACATTATAGCTACATGTAGATTTATTCTTACAGATCAGTCCCTTCCAACAGGAAAAACGAGTAAAATGAAAACAAATATTGATTTTGATTTCAGAATTCCTTCCAGGCCGTGTTTTACGATGTGTCCGTAAGCAGTAAGTTCGACTTGGCAATCATCATATTCATATTCCTGAACATGATTATAATGGCGGTGGACCACTATAAAATGTCTGACTTGATCACAGATATACTCGACATCATGAATATAGTGTTCACTACAGTCTTCACTATGGAGTGCATCGTCAAAATCATCGGCCTCCGACTGCACTACTTCCGCCAGCCTTGGAATGTATTTGACTTTGTGGTGGTCGTCCTGTCTTTAGGGGGTAAGACTTTTCTGTTTTTAAAACAAGATTTTTTTACAACTAACAGAGTATAGAAACTTTCACTTATGTCAGGGTTGCATCTTTATTAAGTTTTTAAGAATGTATTTATCGAAAATAAATGAACACAATTCAGTATGAAAATTATATGATTAGTTTTTGTTTGCTTGTTTAAAATGACTTTATGTTTTATTAAAATAAGGCAAGTTCAGCAAAACTTCCAATTCCAATGGAAAGGTTAAATACTGTTACTACACACCTGTTGTATGCCCAATTTAAAAGAATTTCAAATCTCCCTTAACCTTTGTTGAAAGGGCAATTTCATTTTAATTTTTGTAGCAATGCCATATAAAGAGATAATTTCTTAAATAGAGTTTGAAAAAAAACCAGATTAATATTTGATGCCTTTATATACCAAAAACACCGAATTCTTACAAACAATTTTGTAAAAACTCAATATTTTTTTCACAAAAATATATTGAATACGACCATGAGCAGTGACATTTCAGTAATGTATCAATGCATGTACCATGTACATTGTGCTGATAGAAGCTAGATACTAACAACGTAGACATCAATACTTACATGGAAAGTAATGTAATTTGTGCATGTTATATGTTTTAATGATCTCTAATATATATATATACATCTATGTAAAAATATATGTAGATATCAGTGATACTACTTTAGTATACTTTATTTTTTCACAAGAAGTTGAAACCAATACAATAATGTTTGTGATAACAGATTGAACTCATCCTCTGTCTAGAAATAGTTATGATTGCATGAGTATAGCCCGGTCTAACACGATTTCTGTACTATGTGTATGATGTTTCGTGTTAACATTTTAAGTGTTGTCATTCTCAATTTTACTCATTTCATTGCTAAATTTTAGTGGTGATTTTGGACGCAGCAGGTAACATTCTGATGTTAAATGTTTGGAGTGAAGTATATATTCTCCTGGCTTCTTGTCATATATCATTTTGGAATAAAATCAATAATGCTAAAAAGAAAAAAGAAAAAAATTGAGGAAGCTGCATTAAAAGTACTTTTTATTTGCAAATATATCTTTATGCATACTTTGTTAAAAATACCTTTGAATTTAACTCTCTTTCTCAAACCTGTGACATTCAAGTACCATGAGCATATTTTTCGTTAATTCCTTGAACAGTCTTTTAGGATCAATATACGTTGTGTAACGTACACAATTCACCTACAGAACCAATTTCAAGAATGTGTATTTGTATTTAACTCATTCACCTAAAGACACATTAAAACTCTTCCAATCAATAGGTTGGAATAGTTTATTAAGAAATTTCAGGGGTGAATGAGTTAAACCTCTTAAAAATTCTATATCAAGAGGGCATGATTTCATATTAAAATATTGTTCCTTTCTAGTAAGGTGTCAACAGATGTAATCAGAGTAGTTACATATTGTTGACCATGGTCTGCTTAGTTCTTTCAAGATTAAAAAAGAATGATTTCAACAGCTTAGATTAAAGTAGTGCTGATTTTTTTACACCTGCTTAAAATAAGCATTATGTGTTATTTAAATACGATGCATCAACGAAAGAATAGGAAAAGAAAGTATGACTGCATTATAAGATACCTTTGCAAAGCCAAAAACAAAATTAATGTCACATTCTTTTAGAAAAAAACAGGGTTACTTCAAATGACATGTTTTCAAAATGTGATATAGCTTTGATATATTGACAGAAGCCTCGAGTGTGAACGTAGAATTCAATTGTATTTTACAGTAGTCATATGGCCATCTTAGAATATTGACCCTGTCTCCCCAGCAACCACAATTTGACTTGTCTGTCTGTGAACTGGACCAATTCTTTTTGTGGTGAGAGGGGTTACAGGGTCTGTAAGTCTGAGTGAAGTAGACATAGTAGATCAACAAGTAGAACTGTTTATATCTTAGATCACATTCAAGCTACTAGCAGCTCATTTTACTTTTAATGATATACATAGATGTGCATCAATCCTCGGGTATAAATAAATATATTTTTGATAATGGTATTTCAAATTCCAAAACTGTATAAATGCTAATGTTATTTAGTACATATTATTATAAACCATTGATAGCTTATTGCAAATGATAATATAAGTTAATAACTATGGATTGAAGCGTGGTGATAACAAATCTTATGGATCTGAGTTAGAAGGATGTTTATGTAAACAATCTTGTTCATTAAAATATGCATAATTTTTTAAATATTAATTCTTTTTTTTTAATGTTTTGTTAAAAACGCTAAAATACTCCTTTAAAATCAAAGATATTAGTTGCGATAATCTGTAAATTTCAGTGTTGCACTGATATTTAATATGCACATGAGGAAACGTTACAAGGCTGCTATTTATTTTTAAACACTGTCTTCAAATTGGAAGTTACTAAAAAAATATAGGACTACAATAAATGCATATCATACCGGTGTGAAAACAAACATCTGCTATATGCTTTTATTGAAAGAAAATACCAATTTTGAATGAACCTTTCTGCTGCATCCAGCATCAACCAGCTTATGTTTTGCATCATCCAATACATTATCCTAGACAAATATCACGTTGCTAGAGATTCGGATAAGAGTATATCACTAGGTTGCACATCTGTAGTTAGAAGGTCACGCTAGGCTAAACAAGTGTGCTGCGCTTGATTGCACAACTATAATTAAAGGGTGTCACGCAAGATTGAACAAATGAGCTGCGCTTGTTTGCACAACTATAAGTTACAGATGAAGTGAATTAAGATATGCTAGGTTAAGACAAGCGTTTTACAAAAAAAACCGCTTGGATATAGTTAAATGGACCCGCGTTACATAATAAAATGAAGCATTTGGTTACACACATGTATACAAAAAGTATCGTGATAGATAGGACATATTGCATCAACATGATGTAAGACTTGCACTTTGTCAAATGAAGCAAGGCAAGGATTTAGGCTAAAATACACTCATATATAGTGGGTTATACACAGGTACTACTGTGCAACTTCGTTAGTTTGAACACTGATTTTCGGAAATTTACGGATTAACATACTTTGTTCAGATTTATTAGTTTTAATATATATTGATCACGAATATCAGAATATTGAGCCTTGAGTTCAGAGGATTATCGGTTTGGATTAACGAGGTTTCGCGGTAATTTGTTGCTTATGTAAAAATTGGTATACAGCTGTTTGTAAAAACGCTATTGAAAGTCGTATATTATTGCCAATAAGTCTTATTTGTAACACTTTGATGGACTAAGTCACTATTGCATTATCACGCGTTTATTATAATTCATCCTGTCAAAATAGCTTCTTTTTTTATGTCCAAGAATATTAAGTCTGACAAACAAATAGTTCATATCTCAACACATTTGGGATAAAAAAAAAAAATGCTTTTTAAACTTCTTCATATCCATATTTGGATACAAATGATTCCAGTGCAGGTGCCATCATTCGACAGCCCTCCTTTCAACACAGTTTGTTGTCATAAAGCATGTTCTTTCATAGACGGGGGTTTGCATCTAATTCTGTAGACTCATTATTCGAATATGAACATCTTTCGTAGTCACTTACAAATTGCTGCCGAAATTAATCTTATTGTATAGCTAATGCAAGTTTTACTAACAAAGCATTATTGATTGTTCCAATAAGTGCTGTAATGTGCTTTTATTTCACGGCAGGCAAAGAAATATAAATCATAAATTATAAAAACTTAGCATTATCATAAGTATATAAGGCTTTTAGTCAATTTAAGTCTTGCATTGATACATACACATTTTAGCAAATTGTTATTTTACATTTCACTCGCAAGAAATCTTCAAATACTTTTCATGGCAGCGGTATTGTAGCTGTATGAAGGATATGTAAATTCATCAGACGTTTAATGGTCCTGTTACCTATTGGAAAAGGATATTACGTTCTTACATTTTTCATCGTTGCACCTGTCCTTTGAGGGTGGACCCGCATGAGTATATAGAAAAAGGAAACAAAACGTATTTATCCAAAATAGTTTAAACTTACCGTGAAATCAAAGCACTTGACAGCACCATATCTACTTATTTCTCCCAGCCAGACAGATGATGAATTGATGATTTGTTTGTTTTCTTCTTCAGGTATTATATTAGACCAGGTCCTCGATGGGCTCATCGTTTCCCCAACCCTTCTTAGGGTTGTCCGGGTGTTTAGGATTGGTCGAGTCCTGCGACTCATCAAGGCAGCAAAAGGTATAAGGAAGCTTTTGTTCGCTCTGATAATATCCCTTCCTGCTCTTCTAAATATCGGGGCACTGCTATTCCTGGTCATGTATATATTCGCTATTATTGGAATGTCCTCCTTTGGCAATGTGAAGATTGAGGCTCCTCTCGATGATACGGTGAACTTCCAGACGTTCGGCAATAGCTTTGTGCTGCTACTGCGACTGTCTACGTCAGCTGGATGGAATGACATTCTTGAACCGTTGCTTATAGAACCGCCATATTGCGACCCGGATTACATCATACGGACAGATGGGACCAAAGTTGAGTCTACTAATGGCGACTGTGGTACTCCATGGCTTGCCTACTTCTTTATGGTCGCCTACATCCTTGTTGTATTTTTAATTGTGATAAACATGTACATTGCTGTGATCCTGGAGAACTTTAACCAGGCCCACGAGCAGGAAGAAGTTGGTGTTACTGAGGACGACTTTGACGAGTTTTATGTTGTCTGGGAAAAGTTTGACCCTCTAGCCACTCAGTACATTAAATATGAACAACTATCAACCTTTGTAGCAGATCTTGACCCTCCACTAGGTATACCTAAGCCAAATGAGATAGCTTTAGTGGCATGTGATTTACCAATCATGGAAGGGGACAAAATCCACTGTTTGGACGTGCTTATAGCACTTGTGAAAAATGTCCTGGGACGTGTGGAAGAAACAGAGGAATTTAAAGAATTGCGTGCCCAGATGGAGGAAAAGTTTGAGGAGACTTTCCCCACGCGTGTCAACAATGGCAAGATGTCTAGCACCATGCAGAAAAAGAAGGAAGATGTGGCCGCAAAAACCTTACAACGAGCTTGGCGCAGCTTCAAAACGCAGAAGCAGCTTCGCAACATTACAAAACTGGCTATGGATAAAAGCAAGGATGACGACGACAAAAAATCTAAGGGTGGTGCACTTGCTGCACTTGGCCAGCGCCTCTCTTGTGCTCTTACAAACTTCTTCAGTGGTTCATCACGTCCTGGGAGTGCTGCTAGTACACGTAGTGTTAAAAGTACTGACCCTGGCGCAGGCAAAACAAAAGTGAACAAGAACACATTACAGACGCCGTCTGTTGGTGCTCTTTATAATAACCAGAAAGATGACAGTAATAAAGATGTAGAATTGTGATAATACTGAAAATGTAAAGTGTACAAACTCTATAGATTGATAAAAAAAAAATGCAATTGCAAATGTGCATATCATTTTTGCTAAGTAGAAAGTGAGTCAAATAACTTATTTGCGTGTTACGCTTGATGTCCCCGTGGTGTTGAGGACATGATTAACTATGAGGTATCGGTAGCTCCATTATTTGGAAAGTGTCCAAAATTGAGCAAACAACATCCATGGCGACCCAGACTTGAGACTTTGAACTGTAGTGTCTCAAACACAACAAATTAAGCACTGGAAATATTCAAACTAGATACAAAAAGTGCTGACAAGTCTAAATTGAGCGTAGTGTGCTAGTGAAGTAGTAAAATGTCCCAAAGTCAGTACAATGAGTGATGATGATGAGTCCCTATTGATTAACCGATAAACATAGAGGTGTTTTAAAGTCATTCAAAGGATACAACGCGCTTGGAGGTCTCTGAACACCTCTCAAACTACTGTGATAGCCGCCGTTAAATAGCGGCAGTATTTTTTATTCATAATGTATAAACTTAAGTATTATCAGTAGGAGAGATATAATGCAAAAAAGTTCTGCGAAACTCTAAAGACTGGACAAATGACTTGTCTGCGTATGCTATCTATGTAGACCGGACGGATTTTGTGGTTTTAATTTATTATTATTTCCTTATTTAACATGGATGTGTATGAACGATTTTAACCGCTGCTTTTCTTTGTTATTATGGATATTTGTTCTTTATTTACATAATAAATTATTGAAATTGGAATTTATTTTTTTAAGTCCAAATGTTTCGGTAACAATCTTATAAGATATTTTACTTTCTAACTAAAACCAAACCTGAACAAATTAGAAAATATGAAAAGTAAACTATCTGAAATTATTTACGGGAAAAAAATACGGATTTCACAACAGTTTTGTTTCAATATGTAATATTTTTAAAATCGATCTGTACTTTTCATTCATTAAGTATTTATACCTGTGAATTTTAATCCGTGCAGTTATTTTTTCAAAATTCAAATGTTTGAGAACGTGTTGTTTGTCTACCTCATTTGGGTAGGTAATATTGTTTATGGTATTCCCTGTTATCACCATTACCTGTAATTATTACTTACCTATATGACTTATAACATAATCAATATAATGGTGAAATAATGTAATGAATAGAATTGTAAAAGCAAAGTTACTTATAACCTAAATCAACATTTTACATCCATGATCACAATTTACATGATGCCAATGATCTCGAGTTAAAGTTGGTTAAACAATTACTTTGTTATGGTAAATAACTAAGCTTGGTAGGACAGTCAAGGGCAAACAAACATGTTTTGGCCTTACTCAATGTCGCTCTTTTGCAGGTTATAATACTGCACAAAATAATTATCTTGTCAAATTATCTGATACTAATTATTAAGCAAATATTTTAATTCTGATGTACAGTACGTTTTAATCAATATTTCTGGAGAAAAAAATATCTCGTAAAAATGTCTTTGCTTTGATATGTTACTCTATGGAGAGGCGTAGAATAGTGTCTTTCAAACGAACTGTCATTGAATCTGCATAAATGTCAACGTTTTCAGGAATCACAGTTGTACAATTTTGTGTTTCGCACCATTGCTTAGCTTTTGAAATGAAATTGTTTACATACACTGACATTTCAATTTTGGCTTCATGTAATTTTTCTTTGTTAATTTGATAAGAAATAATGCTGAAAATCCATTATTTCATTTCATGTAATTGTTTTGTGTACATTACTGATTGTCAAAAGTTCACTGTTGCCAAAACCAAACGTAGATCTTATCCAACACATATAAATAGTGTACTTGTTCTTAATGTGTTTAGTTTTTATTGTGAGTACGTAAAGATTTCGTTTATGTTGGGGTTTTTTTTACATGTATTTTATTAATGTCTAATTCAGAAATTTTGTAACCAATTTCGCTAGTCATTTCAACTCTCACACCTATTAATCCGTTTCAACTAGTGAAATAATGTGGTTTGGCTGTAGAAATAAACACCTGGTTTTGTGGTTTTTCAATCAAATTTAAATTTAGGTATTTGTTGAAGGGGTTTGTGACATAGATATAGTGCAATTTTATATAGTTTTTTTGCAAGTTTGATAAAAAATGTTAGTTTAACATTTCAGAACAAAGTGGAAATTGCGTAAGTGATAAAAAATAAATAGATATATCTGAAACAAAAAGGGTGGATTAGAAAAAAAGGTGAATGAAGAGGAATCCTATTCTTTTTTTGTCTTTGTCTTTTTATACTTCGTTCTTTTGCTTTCCAATGTTTTCCCCCATATGTCATTATTTTACTAAATTTTAAAACAATGATGTGGACCGAGTATGAGATTGACTTTATTTTACTCCGTGAATGATGATCAATTTAATAGAGAAGCAAGAAAGAAGCGATTGTATGAGTAGCTTGAATGTGTTAAATTTGTGTAAAGGTTGTTATTTAATTGTTTATGTGGAAATATGGAAAAAAATATATCATCTAGAAGATTCTTCTGTGAATCTTGTTACTTTGATTGAGATGCTGATATTCATCTTTGCATGCAATGTGAAGACAGAAGAGTAAACAGGTGTGCATTTTTTCGTTTGGATTCGTTTTACTGAACAAATTTTAGGAAATTGGAAGACTTAGTAATGCTTTTTAATAACCTTTTTTTTTTCGCTATCGAATTTTTGATTTTCTACTGTATGAAATTTGAAATACGAATGCATGTCTATTGAATTATTAAGTGCTAAACCCGTGATCATTATGCAAATATCGGTAATGTCCTTATGAATCTGCAAATGTGCCAATGTAACGTACCATTACAAGGATATCAATGAAAGAAAATGTGGTTTATCTCTGATTAATATTTTTTTGTATTTACTGTCGCCTTGGGGAAATTGTTTATAGGGCTGTCAAACTTTTGACAGAACGAAATGGAATGGGGAGCCGTTCGTCCGTCCACCAAATGGTTTCCACAAGAACACTTGCTTAAATATACGATCTTAATGAAACTTGTTAAGCATGTACAATATATATATAAAAAAAGACTTCAATTTGATGATAAACGAAATAAAAAAGTAGCGTACTGTGCTCTGATTGGACAACGTCCACACCTTAGCTCCCGCTAGAAAACTAGCAAAATATCGTTCATTTTCATTGTACAATAGAAATAAAGTCGAAGGAGTTGGGTAAATCCTATACTTCATTTATTTGCATATTGCACTCTGATTGGTCGGTTTTTGCACAATATTTTAAGCAAGTGTCGCTGGATTCTGATGAACCTTTGTCAAGATTTATATCATATAATGGAAGTTGCCATGTTCGATGGTAAACACAATCACCGCATAATTAATTTGCATACTGTGCTCTGCTGTTTGAATGATTTCTGCACAAATGAAATATGACCACATTCCTATCCATTGTACACAATATGTATACTATATCAAGACAAAGATTAAATTTGAAGTTGACCGCTTGGTAATGGACGGGTGTGTATTGTTTCGCCCCTGCAGTTTCTATTTCTTGTCAACATAATATTTGGATTCAATATTTTCATCATCATTTTCGATTTTTGGTATGTCGCATCTTTATTATTCATAACGTTGTTTCGATGCTATGTTATGCATTTAAATACAACGATTGTTCCAAACCTCCGTTTTCATAGGCTGATCTTTATGTATATAAAATATCTGTCAACAACAATATTTCACATCTATCTAACAATGTTTTTTCGTCTATCCAGTCAAGTTCGTATAATTGGCTTATTCGTCTCTATCAAAGACAACATATTTGAAAAAAAATGAATTGTAATTTAAGACATTATTCATTTGTTTAATAACATTGGAACTTAACACAGGTACGTGTACACATTAACTGATTACACTGCAGTCATTCCGTACGATTAATTAGAAATAGAGTCCAGAAATAGTTTCCAAGATCAAATCATATTCATACAGTTTAAGGAAACGTGAATTTGCGAAGAGTTCATCTGTATTGCCCTTACTTATATATCTTTTTCTATTCTCCAAAAAGATTATTCAAATATGCTAAATATGTTAATTTCAGTGAGAGGAAGAAGATGGATGTGTTAAATATCCGTCAAGATATTTGAAAAAGGATTTTAATTTTTGTCTTTTGAATTGTTTTATGTCACCCTTATTACCTCGAGTTAGATGAAGAGGGGGTGTGAACATGACATTCTCATTATCATCACCAAAACATTACTTGAATTTTGAAAGATTTTGAAGTCACCAACTTCAATGTGTAAAAAGCTCCAAATATCAATATGAGACTTTATAACATTTATAAAAAAAAGTTGATAGTTTGTTTAAGTACATGCCCCTTCAAAGCTTTTTTTTATATACTGTTAGCTGAAAAAGGACTCGCTTTGTCTTAATATAATACATTTATGACATTTGGTTATTTATTCCTACTTTGTTTTCTAGTGTAATTGACTTAATTGAAAGACTTATCATTTACAAATGATATGGATTATAATCTTTATTTTTATAGGAATGTGAGATTTCATAAGATGTTTCATTATCTGTATTAGCTGAAATCAAAACTCAAATATTCATCAGATTTTTTTCTGCTAATATATGAATGTATCATTGTTATGATTTGCAAAGTTGTTGTTTCGTATATAATTGTAAATAAGTAATGTAAATAAAGAAGTATTATTTTCATTTTAAGAGAGATAGATTAAAAAAAGGACGTTTAATTTTTTTACAAAGTACAATGTGGCTTGGAGATTTGCCCCAGCGTGTAGACTCTGTTGATACTTTTGTTGGTGTCTCACGTCGCTATGGCTGCTCTACTTAGGGTAGCTATTTATAGGCCACTCAATAAGATGTCCCGAGCACTTGACCGTTATCACCATATTCTGTATTAAGCTGGTTCACACCAGGATTTCAAGCTAACCGGCGCTCCTGACGATTTCCTTTGAACAATAAACCTTTTTGCAAAAATCTGTAATGTTGTGTCTTCTTTTTACCGCTCTGTACTGTTGTAACACCCCCTTCCATATCCCCTCCAAAAATATAAATTAATGAATAAATAAACGAAATGAAAATAATAATATATATACACACAAAAAAGCAGATTGTTTCTTACTTAACGTTTGAATCTCCCCCTCCCAGAAGTAGACATGACGTCATATACTGACGTGACATTTAGGTACCATTAAATCAGGATTACAGTCGTATTATGTTTCTTACTTAACGTTTGAATCTCCCCCTCCCAGAAGTAGACCTGACGTCACATACTGACGTGACATTTCGTCATTTAGGTACCATTAAATCAGGGTTACAGTCGTATTATGATAATGTTTATCTAAAAATGGATTTAATGGAATAGTTGATTTTGAAGAATTCAAAACAACTTGATCAATCTTGAACATTCTCTCCTCAAAAATGTTTCTGTTATCAGAACTTTCGACTTTTTACAGGATTTACCTCATACCAAACTAAAGAACGTCTCCATTATCTTATTATGAGCGATTTCTTTCCTAAGATGAACGGCGATATAGATATAACGTTAAAGACTGTATTAAAACATTTTTGTGAGAAGCCAAGGCAAGATTAAAGTACAATGAGGATGACTATTGGGAATGATTGAGTTCCGGGTTGATAATACCTTTGTTGAGTTTGATGGTAAGTTTTCCAGCAGACTAGACATTCCTATGGGCACATTTTTTGCTCAGATTTATCGACGATGTGTTCAGAAATTTACTGACCACGTCGTCAAGCTTTTAAGCTTGGAAAAAGCCGGTACATAACACACTCTTCTACTTAGGCCGCTTTCCTCGATCTTTACTTACAGCATAGCCTAAAGGGACAGCCTACTGTCAAGATGTTCAATCAGTAACTTACCTTTCTTGATAGTAACATCGTCACGTCCACAATCTACGGTTTTTACATGTCGCAGTTGCTCGATACTCAAAGAGTTTTCTCCGAATGTCGTGATTTCTTCTGTGATTATGCCGGGTATTAAGGGACAACCGTACACCACAGGTTTGGGAGAGATGCAGGTTGATTATGGGACAAAGGTCGCAATCACGACCTCACTGGGAACAGTTTATTTTACCTGTGATATGACGGTTGGTTTCGCTGTTGTTTTTTGTCACTACCTGCCTTCATGCTTTGATGACGCTTATCCTTCCGTAATACTTGGTCTAATTTTCTTTCAACATTTTAAGGGTTCCTTGTAAATCTCTCCTTTGTTCATATTTTGACTGCGACTTCGACTGCGAGTTCGAAAAAACTGTGTTACTAACAGTAAGATATTCCCTCAAGGTTTTCTAGTCAACAGGTAATATACAATTGACGTGGTAAAAAATATATTATTATTTATCATTTAACGGCAAAATTATCGATTTGAAAGTGAAGTGGAAATAGCTGGTCTTCGTTATCTATAATTGAACGTTTTTCGATGAATTCTCACTCTCACAAATTTATATTTGAGCTGCAATCTCTTATATGAGCATCACGAAACGAAAAACATTTCATTAGATTATGAATGTACTGGCCGTAGGTCGGTGGTTTGTCTCCGGGAACTCCGGCTTCCTTCTACCACCAAAACCTGGCGCGTCCTTAAATGACCAGGGCCCAGTTGTTCAAAAGGTGGTTACAAAAGTAGCACAGTTTAACGACATTTTTAAAACCTTTAATAATTTTGTCAATATACAAGGTAAAATCTTACAATTTTGCATGTAAATTCACTTAACTGAATATTTGATATCTAGATAGTTATAATTAATTCTAAGATTGAGTCTAAAAGGTACACAAAAATTAAGATTTGCCCTAATCACTGATTAAGCTAATCATCATTTTTACAACTGGGCCCATACATGTAGTTGTTTATAGGACGTAAAACACAAATAAACCAAACCCAAATGGATTTAATGGGGAGTTTTTAATAGCAATTTCCGTATTAACGCAAGTTGGTTACATCGCTGTTGAAATGAAGCACAACAGGCCTAGGGCCATATGCAGTATGGAGGTAACAGTTTTGCGTTCAATTCCTATATGAAAACAAAAACAAGTCGGTCGATCATAAACGCAGGTTTAGTATTGTACAGAGTGGTAAAGTCAAATGTTCTGACAGAAGAAAATATTTAAGAAAAGAATCCTCATTCAGCTCCTGTATTAAACACTAACAATGCGACTAACTCTGATTTATTGGTACTGGAGATGCTGGTATGAAATTGAGATATATAGATAATGGCTTGGTTGAGCAATTGCACGCAGCTGAGTCGGCGATTAAACGTTGTTTATAAGGATTTTTCATATCAAATTTGGCATAATACCTTTTTGCATTAATTGTTTAAAGATTAATCGCGATTTACATTCTTGACCCCGCAATCAGGGGGACATCTTTATTTCATAAAATATTGAACTCCATGACGATGAGATATTTTATTCAATAAGGTATTACAAGTAATACAATCCCTTGGCATACATATGATGTATGACCCATGTACATGAAAAAAGTGATGGAAAATTCACTGTTTGCTGAAGCGTCTGTATTATTTCATGGAGTAGATTTTTTATTTCCATATGTTTGTGTTTCGCTGGTGTACATGTATGGTTCCGATTTTGACATATAAAGGCAACCACATAATGAGAATACTCTGTTGTATTTATGAAACATAAATATTACACAATATGGATATGTTAAAAGATAGCATGACTACTTGATACCACAACCAAACCTTCAACTGTCTTAACATTTCACATATCACAGAAACTTCACATGACACGAATACTTCACGTTACCAATTCTTCATATGCCATCGACAATCCCCATATCAGCGACATTTATCATTTCATTCACACTTCACTTGTCATTCACACTTCACATGTCATCAACACTTCACATCAACACTTCACATGTCATTCACACTTCACATGTCATCAACACTTCACATGTCATTCACACTTTACATGCCATTCACACTTCACATATGTCCTTCACACTTCACATGTCAATCACACTTCACATGTCATCAACACTTCGCATGTCATTCACACTTCACATGTCATCAACACTTCACATGTCATCAACACTTCACATGGCATTCACACTTTACATATCATTCACACTTCACATGTCATTCACACTTCACATGTCATCAACACTCTACATGTCATTAACACTTCACATGTCATTCACACTTCACATGCCATTCACACTTCACATGTCATCAACACTCCAAACGTCACCATAATAAAACCGGGGATGGAAGTGACGAAACCTAAAGCAGCTACTTTATATCTGCAGTGATCTGGGAGTAACACTATATATTGTAGTTATGTCTAATAAACTGAGCGTGACATAAACTTGTTGGGCCAGTGACCCGGGAAGGCCCAAAACTATTATATATGTAACTACAAAAGAAAGGGTGATATCAACTGTATTCTACATAGATGACCAACATGACACCAAAATAAAGTCATGGACTTGTAGCTAAAGTGACAAAACCTATTGCAGTTATATATAATAAACTGGGAATGACATATACCTGCTGAGCCAATGACCCTAAAAAGGCCGAACATACATTAGATGTGACCACGAAAGAAAGAGGGATATCAACTCTATACTACATAGATTTCCCGCATGACACCAAACTTAAGCCAGGGACTCAAAATGACGAAACAAATCGCTTTTTTCAATAACTGGAGTGACGATAGCTAGAGCAGTTATGCTTAATGACTTGCGTGTGACAAAAGCGTTAAGTATTTATTTCTAATGACCTAAGAGAGCGACGAAACCTATTGCATTAATGTCTAATAGTCTCAGGGAATGACGATTACAGTAATGTCCAATGACAGCTTATATATATATAGATAGCTACATGGGAGTGTTGTTGCTTGAGGTTGGAGTGACGATTCCGATGTAAGTTATGGAAGAAAGTGGAATTTTATAGTTGTGTTTCAGAAACTGTTCAAAATTCACAGTATTTATCCAACTACAGGAATAACGCAAAACACACGTACGTCGTAAATGTTACACCCAAAAAGATCCCTCACAACAAGTATGTTAGCTGGTTCAATACACATGATGGGCTTACTATCAGTTATTAAAGTGTTTCCTTTATTAACTAGTATTTCGTGTCATTATTGTCAGCTGTATGTCTATGTTCCTCTGGTGTTGATGAATCCGAACATCCGGTAACGGGTAAAACTCGTCTTTTTGACCTTACTGTTCCGCTTCGATTCGGAAAAGAGTTCGCAAAAAAAACACTCTTTTGACGATTAAATCCAAAACATGGAATTGAGTCCTTGTAAGCCTTTCGTATGTTTGAATTAAAAACTCCATAAACAATTGTATTGACGCAACTATTTGTATAGCATAGATATATAACAAGGAGATGCATAAATCTAGGATTATCATCTGCTTTCTGGAACATAGCTACTAATCCAAACGGCATCAACAGTAACAGATAGGATGCAAACACAGCAAAATGGGCTCGGCTTATGGCGTCCTCGTGTTTAAGTCGAGTCTGCGCAAGACCATTATTCCAGTTCCGGTACAGTCTTAATTTTGATTTCCTATAACATCGATAAATCATTCCATAGCACAACACCGTTAGAGAAATCGGTAGCATCAGACAGAAAAACATGTATGTTATAGAATATATCATGTATTTGTAACGGTTAAAAACGCACATGTGCAGGGTAACATCCATGAAAAAACCGTCTTCAAGGATTAGCAACGGTATCGCGAAAATCAATCCAACCAACCATATTCCGGTACAAAACACACATAACGACATCCTGTTGAAAACTTTGTTGTAATATTGACTCTGACAAACCTTAACATAGCGACTGATTGCTATACACATAAGTGCCATTACAGAGCCAGTGAAACACAAATACGAAAACATTGCAGCGATTAAGCATGCGTCCGGTGAAAGAGGGTAACTTCCGGTAGCAGCTGTTGTGAAAGTGATAGGCAGTAGAATACCGATTAAAAATGTATCGCATACTGCCAAATTCACAGTGAACAAATTGTGGGTAACACGTAGGCGCTTGAGTCGGGTAAAAGTCACAATCAAAAGAATGTTTGCTGGCAATCCAATTATGTACAATATCACCCCAACCACAGCAGCTCCTAACGACTGTATACTGAGGTCCTCGTTACCTGTGATGTTGCTGGTATTTAACATTCTTCCTGAAAGTTTTTTTTCCTGAAAGTCCCACAATAAATTGTCAGACAAACACCCACGTGCTTACTTAACTTGTACACCTCGAATCAAACACGCGCATATTGTATCTTGTAGTCGTCACTCCTTGATCTGTGATCCTTAACCAATATATGTCTATCTTTAATAAATTGTAAATCCCAAGTTATGGTGTTTCATGAGTGTTCACATCAAAGTAATACATACATGAAGTGCCTTGAGTGTATAGCAGCTGCTCATGTAAGTTCGACCCAACTCTGGCTTCCCCGGAGAGACAAGGGACAATGGCCATCAACGTACATGTATCGGTTCCATTAGCAATTTAAGTGCGATTGGGAATGTGATTTCCCTATTGACACGTCCAGCAATAACCATAACTGTGGAGAAATCAGGAGCTCACGTTTATGCCATAACATCTAACAACTGATCGGAAGGATCTTCAAAGAGTTCGAGCAAGTATTCAAATCAATGCCCAAAGTTTACCATAACAAAACCAGCTGCCGTATAAAGTAATCAATTCGACTGGAAAATTGTCGGGGAAGTTAATCTTTTTGAAAAATATACAAACATCGTTATCAATTAAACAGAAAAAAAAACCAAATGCTAGCCGTCAGCAAATTAGTCCAGAGCCATTCGTTACTGGGTAAGCACGGATCACTAAGTAAAAGATCATGCAATCGCGTATCAGTGACTATGATATTCTCATAAACAGAAATTTACAATGAAGAGAAGTGTATAATAGTAAACCTGTTTACGGTATATAGCATGGTGACAGTGGAAGGTACGAAATTCTGTCGTAAACCTTTCTTTGTATTAGCTAGTTTGTTGAAATCTTTTCTCTTTTCCTCTGGAAGCAAAGAAAAATACATCATTTTTTGTTGAAATATTTTCTGTCTCCTTCTGGCAGTAGTGAAGAATACACCATCTCCTAAATATCACTTCTTAATACAGGTTACAGGATCAATAACGAGCTTTCTCGAATCCTTATAAAATAAAAATCACTATCTGAGGATGAAGACGAAACGTTTTGTTGTTTTTACAAAGGACATAAACGTCATCATCCTTTGATCATATTGCGACATGGATATTTCCATTGCCTAAATGAGTACATCTGAATGTGGCGTGGCTATGTGGTGGAAGCGTCGTATATACATGTATGTACAATATGAATATGATACAAAATGGTAGCCTATAAGCGCGGATCTCCCCATAAGAATCTGCTCATATATACGTCCACACTACACTAGAGCTGTATGGCAAGCCGTTTGAGTGTTTACCGATTCAAACAAATATCTGCAGTTATTGACAAAATACAGATATCTTTGTTTAAAATATAGATATCTTTGTTTAAAATACAGATATCTTTGTTTAAAATACAGATCTCTGTATTGAAAATAGAGATGTCTGTAATTGAAATAAAGATATCTGCATTTTAAATACAGATATTTGTATTTATTGTATAAGTATATATATCTGTATTTAAAATATGGATATCTATATTTCAATTACATATTATCTCCATTTATTTGCAATACAGATATCTTTTTATTTGCAAATATAGATATCTATTTTATAATTTTAGATATTTACCGATATTTATAACTATACAATAAATACAGAAATCTGTATTTAAAATGCATGTATCTGTATTTAAAATGCATGTATCTGTATTAAAAATGCAGATATCTTTAATTCAATAACAGCTATCTCTATTTAAAACAAGAGGCCCAATGGGCCTGCATCGTTCACCTGGTATAAAACTCGCACTTGTAACCTTTAAAGTGATCTAAAATCAAGCTACAGGCAAAATATCAGTATTTATGATTAAAATTCATTGAAAAGACCCTGTTTTTTTTTTTTTAAACATTTCACCCCTGTGATTGAAAGTCGAACAAAGTCATTATGTTGAACACATTGTGTAGCCTTTCATCTCAGGATGCAACTTGCAAATTGCAAAGTATAAACATCCTGGGACCCATGGTTATTCAGAAGAGGTTGTTTAAAGATTTTAAACAAATTTGACCCCTGTGACCTTGAATATAAGTCAAAGTCATTCACTTGAACAAACAAAGTAGTCCTTGATCCCAGCATATGCTACTGACTAAATATCAACATCCTGAGCCTTTTGGTTATTCAGAACAAGTTGTTGAAATATTTTGAACATATTTGCTCCTTGTGACCTTGAATATGATTCAAGGTCATACATTTATACAAACTTGGTAGCCCTTGATCCTAGTATGCTACTGACTAAATATCATCACCCTGGGCATTTTGGTTATTCAGAAGAAGTTGTTTAAAGTTTTTAACATATTTGACCCCTGTGACCTTGAATATGGGTGAAGGTCATGCATTTGAACAAACTTTGTAGCCCTTCATCTCAGCATGCTACTGGCCAAATATCATCACCCAGGGCATTTTGGTTATTGAGAAGAAGTTGTTTAAAGGTTTTTTAATACAATTGACCCCTGTGACCTTGAATATAGTTGAAGGTCATTCATTTGAACAAACTTGGTAGCCCTTCACCCAAGCATGCTAATGGCCAAATATCATCTCCCTGGGCACTTTGGTTATTGAGAAGAAGATGTTTAAAGTTTTTGACATATTTGACCCCTGTGACCTTGAAAATAGGTGAAGTTCATTAATTTTAACAAATTTTGTAGCCCTTTATCCAAGTTTGCTTCTGGCCAAATATCGACACCCTAGGCCTTTCGGTTATTAAGAAGAAGTCGTTTAAAGTAAAATATTGACGCTGGACGCCGGACGCCAGATGACGGATGACGGACGACGGACGCCGCGCCATGGCATAAGCTCACTTGGCACATCGTGCCAGGTGAGCTAAAAACAGATTTCACTAATTATGCAATTCCTGAAGGACCGAAGCTCGAATCTTCACATGTACGGCCACACTACATTAAGACAGTAGATCTAGAGTAGCCATGGCCTTTCGTGTTCAATATGAAGCAAATTGTAACCATACATGCTGCATATAAAATCCTTAATTATGATAATTCGAGGTTAAATTGGGATGGAAAAAATTAATTTCCAAATTATTCAATACAATTTTTTTTATTTTTTTTCAATCCTTGTTACAAACACGAAAAAATAATTTAGGAACTATACACGACAATACATACATCTTCTGTTTGAGATTCACCTATACCGTACGTTCTCTCCCGACTCTGTGCAATGAATAGACTATGGCTTCTACCTGTTTTAAAACAAAAAGCAAGGTCGAGGATGAATTTCATTTTTAATTCATAAGGCAATGCTCCCAGACACAAAATCAATAAGGGGGTTCTCTTTCCTCATTCCTAGGGCCCAATACGCTTACAAATGGGCTCTTTCAAAGTCTTTGGATAGTGGATTGTAGTCATGGGTTCAAAAACCACAAGTTACATTGTAGTTGTATTTTGGAGATGTAGGCCTAGGGTGAACGAGAGTATCTTATCAACATATTTATAAAAAAAAAATATGAAATGTACATGCTCGACATCGCTCCTTGCTTTGATGTCACGTGCGTCTTGCTTGACAAACCTTGTCTAACGCTGTGTGTGCTCAAGCTCAGTGTGACAAAGGGAGACTACTACATTTCATCATAGTTCACTGATGAAACCAATCCTTATGAGAAAGTAATTGTACTGCGGTTTTATATGGTTATGAGTACTGGGTACAGCTCGGCACTATCGACTTACGCTGCTAAGCTCCTCCTTGGAGTAGATCATCATACCAGGTCAGATATTAATTGCTGGGCCCTAGCCCGAGTTTCCTCTGGCCCCGACACCATGTCTAATAATCTATCTGTCAAAATGTCTAAAGTGTGGTGTCAGGGCTACTCCTATAACATGAGAGGCCGCTGGTCGGCCTTTTTTCTATCAGATATGATTTTGCCGACTGCGACGCATGTCAAAAGTTTTTCGCCGTGTAAAACCTCTAACATTGTTGGAGTAGTGTCAGGGCCAGAGGAAACTCGGGCTAGCTAGCTGGGCCCATGCTATGTACATGATTCTGCGGAAATTACCAGGAGGATGTTAACTATCAATCCTTTCTAGTAAAGCATATTTTCACCGGTAAAATATATTCTTGTTTTCACCTGCAATCTGAAAGTGTTTGAGTTTCCTGTGCAAAAGGTCATACTCTATATGTATTGCTCTATTACTCCAATGATTAAAGTTAATGTCTTCACGTTCCGTCCAAGCATCAGCTCATTTCATACGCGAGATTATATCTAAATTGGATGTAATGTATTCAGTTCAATTAAACGACAGGATAATGCTACTTTTGTTTACACCTTATTACGTGCAAAGGCGGATCTTCAACTTCAGGAAACTATCACTAAAACCAGTTCCTAATCAAATTAGCCAAATTCGTCGAGCGCTGCGAGTGTTCTTACCAAATAGCTGTTTTAAGGTGACTTTCTCTCGAGCATAGGACAAACTCAAATACGCTATTTTGCGTCGATCATCTCGGTGTTTTTTTTATAGTAAAGCATGAAGACATTCCTAGTAAAGGGAGAACGTATTGGGTCTGTTTTAGAGTTTATTTATCTTGAATTTCATTGTGAAAGTTTCTCATCATTATTTCTCGAAATCTAGTCTTTCAAGTTTTGTGACCGGTTTTGTTTTGCCCTACACCTGTGGTATATCACTTTATGCATCTTTCTATTGGTAAACATAACATTATGAGTGGGACCGATATCAAATACCCAATAGGTGTAAGGGCAAATGGTGACAGGTCCAGCTCAAATTCCTTTAACAACTATGAAGAAATATTATTCAAATTGATGCTATTAGCTTCAGTATATCTTTTTCTATCTTTCTTGTCTTCTTTCATTTCTATTTACTTTCTGTTTCAGGCTGTGTCACACTAGGCGCTCGTCCCCATATGACCCAGGCTGTACCACCCACAACCGAAAAAAAACCCACCTAAATATGATAAACATTTGAAATTGTCCTGGTGGAATGGAGAATAAGTCACAGATTCTTGTTGGTCAAATATCAGGATGTTTTAAACTATGTCCTACACAAAGAAAAGACAACTCTTGTATACAATGTTTTGTTCTTTATATTTTAATCAAATGAAAAGTTTGACAGTAAGTACAGCCTGCATACAAGCATACCTCATATTCAATGTGTTCAATCTTGATCAGGATCAGGATTTTTGCTTTCAAAATTGCACTGGATGTACTTATCATTATTGCATTAATTTAGTAGCTATAATCACATGTGCTGTACCCATTGCCAGTCCATTGATTGCCAGCAAACATTTCATCTTGGCAAAATTCTGGTGAATGAACATTGTGATTTCATCTTGGAAAAATTCTGGTGAGTGAACATTGTGCTTAAATCTATCTTATATTTCACAGTAACAGTACAACTTTATCTGTGAAGTGACAGTACAATAACAACTATTAACCAACATTGTACTTTTTAACAGCATTGTTGTACATATCTCATATACCTTTCCATGTAAGTATTATAAAAAAAATTAACAGTAAACTATTTACAGCAATCTGTAAGTTGTAGGCATTATCTTAAGATACACAAGACTGAAAAAAACCCATCGGACTGCTAGAACTTATTATCATGGCCCCACACAAATGATTGTTTATTCCCACATTGCTTGTTTTAGTGCCTTAACAACCACACCTGTCCTCAGGTGTCGGTAAACAGAAATTAGGAAATGTTATAACTATAGCTGTCAGTTAACACTACGACACTACATAACACTAAATAAAAGTCTTAATAAAACACTTAGGTCTTAATTAAAACCTTCAAGAAAATGACTTACCTATCCAGCACTTATACATCCTGCACCAATCACAACCCCACTATGCTACTACCAAACAGTTTCATTCTTCTATATGAACTTAATATACGCTTTTTTGCTATCGAAGACATTACAGGAAATATAATGAAAGTGTTGTGTTTTGAATCAAAATGTGAAGATAAATTTCACAAATGAAGCAGATCATAAGGTAATTATATATCACTGAAGCCCAGAATTCTTAACACCCTTTATAGTGTTAATTGTCTTAACGATTGTCCACTTGTCAATGACCTGCACACAATACCAGCAGAGAACTTGAAGCCTATGAAGTCACAAATAAATTAAAATCATCCTACTTCACAAAGAATGTTAATGGTTTAGAACTTCTCCTCTGCGTCAAGACACTTCGATTCTTTCAGCGCGAGGAAACGCGTGACAATGTTGTCAATGGTATTTTCTCCGTGAACCTTATTGTCTCGGGTCCGTACGTTGGCCGTTTTATTGGTCACTTCCTTCTCTCCAACCACTGAAACAAACAACACTTCAACTGTAGTAAGTATAACAACGATATCTTCGTGTAAATCTAGACCAATCACACATCTAAATGTCTAAACGTAGTACAAATCTTGGACCAATCACATGTCTTAACTTAGTGCAAATCTTATACCAATCACAAGTCTAAACGTAGTACAAATCTGGGACCAATCACATGTCTAAACATAGCACAAACTCTGGGACCAATCACAAGTCTTAACTTAGTGCAAATCTTGGACCAATCACATGTCTAAACATAGCACAAACTCTGGGACCAATCACAAGTCTTAATTTAGTACAAATCTGGGACCAATCACATGTCTTAACTTAGTGCAAATCTTATACCAAGCACAAGTCTAAACGTAGTACAAATCTTGGACCAATCACATGTCTAAACATAGCACAAACTCTGGGACCAATCACAAGTCTTAACTTAGTGCAATCTGGGACCAATCACATGTCTAAACGTAGACGAATCTGGGACCAGTCACTTGTCTAAACGTAGAGCAAACCTGGGACCAATCACATGTCTAAACGTAGTGCAAACCTGGGACCAATCACACGTCAAGACATAGTGCAAATCTGGCACCAATCATATGTCTAAACGTAGTACAAATCTGGGACCAATCATATGTCTAAACGTAGTACAAATCTGGGACCAATCACATGTCTAAACGTAGTACAAATCTGGGACCAATCA